GGCGCCATCATTCTTTTTTTTTTTTTTTTTTTTTTTTTTTGAACTGGACGGCTGTCATTCCATTTTGTGGAAGGAGAGAACCAATTTGTGGAACTGACTGTTGATTTTTTTTTTTTTTTCTTAAACACGCCCCCACCACTGTTGATTATGGGACACTGACTACTTATTTCCTATGTCTGATCAGTGTCACTGATTACCCATGTCGTCCGTCATTCCTTTTTTTTTTTTTTTGAAAAAACCTGGCGTCGATTATTCCATTTCGTAGAAGGAAAGACCCAATTTGTGGAGCTGACTGTTGATTATGGGACACTGACTACGTATTTCCTATGTCTGATTCGACGCAGGCGTTAGCCCCCTGCGGGCCCAAGGATACCATTTGTGCAAGGGGTAATGAATTGGCAGCAAATGGGACCGATTTTTGCGGATTTGCTGGCTTCAGGGTGGTTGATGTAAATGATCAAAGCACGGCATTACTTCGTACATCTACATCTGGAGATGACCGCGAATCGTTTCCGCAGTGCTTCGACGGCAAACCGTTAGAGATCGGTTTGCAATCGCCAAGGAATGCGTACGCGGATGGGGGTCAGACCCGAGAGATCAAAAAGAGGGGTAGTATCGCTCGAAGGGGGCTTGGCAGAAATTGGAAATGCTTGTGGCGCCCTCTTCAAGGATTTGGCAATGTGGTCACTTGGGCATTTGGAGGGCTAGTGTTGATTCTAATGGCTGGGGCATCGCTTCTCAGGTGAGGGCAACAATTTCTCTACTTTGTGTGTCACTGCTCGTTGACTTTTCCCCCCTTCCCTCCTCCTCCCCCCTCCTCCCACTCTGCCCGTGTCACAGCCCCTCGTTTGTTCTCCTCTTCTCCCTCTCTGCCCACGGTCTACCGCGCACTTCTGTTTAGACAATAGTCTGTGAAACTCTGACGAAACAGTTTGTCCCAGCCCACCGTTTGTTGTCCTCTTCTCCCTCTCTGCCTACGGTCTGCTCCGGTGGCGGAGGGGTGTGTGGGTGGGCACTTGGTGCTTCATCACACACATGTAGCCAACCTTGCATCTTCTATTTTATTGCCTATCTATACCTTCCTTGTTTTATGCATGGTCTGTGCATGATTTGTGGATGGAATGAGGAAAGACTTTGGGGGTGCTTTGACGGACAACTCACACATATACGATGAAGCAACATAACTCCGCAACCACCACAGCAAGTGAATGGCAACCCACAGTACGAAGCAAACAGAAACCGGAGAACAAGTCCTTTAGTAACGCAAGACTGACCATTCTCATGAAAGCGCACCACGTGTGTGTCACTGCGATGGAACGCCGAGCAGGTCAACTGACAATAGCAGCCAGACGAAAAAGAAAACAACGAAAAGCGGCAAGCTGTTAGCCTCCACTGCCACAGTGGGGTGCTGTGACGAATGCAAGTCACGGCAAGCCGGTAGCCTGCACCTGTCTCTTATACACATCTAGATGTGTATAAGAGACAGGTGCTGTGACGAATGCAAGTCACGGCAAGCCGGTAGCCTGCACTGCCCTGGTGGCGTAATGAGTGTACACTGACAATAGCAGCCAGACGAAAAAGAAAACAACGAAAAGCGGCAAGCCTGCACTGCCACAGTGGGGTGCCGTGACAAATGCAAGTCTCGGCAAAGCCGTTATAGCCTGCACTGCCACAGTGGCGTAACGAGTGTACACTGCCGCGACAAATGCAAATAACGGCAATGGAATGCCCTGCAGATCAACTCAAACAAAACACAGGCACCCGCACGGAAAAGAAAAAGAAAGGGACAGCTGTTGTTGGCACACGCGGCCACAGTGGCGTAACGAGTACACACAACAGCGAGAAATGCAAGTAGCCGCACAATGGAAAGCCCAAAAGGTCGATCCAAAACAGGCAGCGGTAGCAAGGCAAAGGAAGGAAAAAGAAAATGGGCAGTGGTTAGCACACGAAGCTGCAGTGGGGGCGTAACGAGCGCGCACTGCCGCACGACAGCATACGAGGGAGGTCATCATCCAAAAAGATTTCAGGCCCAAGCAGTTGGTCGTATACACACCCTTTTTTTTGGGTTTACGCCGGACTTTACGGGTTGGGGTTTTGTTTTAGAGAACTAATAGTGAGGCCGTTTCAACCTGCTGTTCTAAAAATAAAATTAAATTAAATAAAAAAAAACTGACTGATGTGAGGGCCGGTACGGAATTGCGTCCAGATGCATACAACTCGGGCCGTAAATGCGGTTAGGTGCATCCAGGATAGTGGTAGTGTGAGTACGCCCTGAGACCCGCTATTTCAGAACAGACTGATCTATACGTACATCCATTATCTAGCAGGGACCAAGTCCCACTCATGCTGATTCTGCATTTGTATCCATCAGTCTGTGTGATCTGAAGTCAGAAATGAAGGATCCGGGAAAGTGGGAGTTGGTCACAGGACGCTGCCAGCAGTGCGGTTAAACATTGTGTGGTGGTTGCGTTGACTTGCATAGCATTGACTTGCGTAGCATTGACTTGGGTAGCAACCAGCAGTGCAGTTAAACATTGTGTGGTGGTTGCGTTGCCTTACGTAGCATCGACTTGCGTAGCAACCTGCAGTGCGGTAAAAGAACTGTGTGGTGGTTGTGTCGACGACCTGTGGTTGAGTGTGTGTGACTGGGTACACCGGGTCGTGGAGAAATCCGTGCTGGGGTGGGGTTAAGTGCTCATCTTGGGGTGTAACTTTTACCCCAGTCCGCTTAGCCGTTTGGTCGAGCGTTTGCCTCCCAAGAGGGAGGTCGCGCGTTCAATTCTTGTGATTGTGTCGTGAGATGCTTTCGTAGCACGGTTTTTTTTTTTTTTTCCTTTGTTTGTTTCTCCACTTTGTTGATTTGGATCCAGTAACAGTTTGTTCACATTTTCTCTGAGAACAGATCTTTTTCTTTTTTTTTTACCTGACCACAGATCGTTGATGTTGGCGGGCGTGTCTGTGGCTTCGAATGTGTTCGTCCCAGGGTCGCCCGGGACACAGACATCCAGACACCAGTGCCGCACCTGTGTCTGGATGAAACCAGACGTCTGGTTAACCGGTTATGCATCCGGACATCCAGACATTCAGACGCGGACGGTACGGTTGGGTGCTGGCATGTCGGGAAGCCTGGATGCTTAAAAAAGAAAAGAAAAGTGCACACACACACACACACACTCACAGACCCCTGTCCCGTTGTCGCCCTCCACCTCAGATCTTGATGGTAGCCACCCATAGCAGCAGCACCTTCACCCGTAGCAGCGCCGCCGAGGTCTCCATTGCCGCCATGGACATCACCGAGGAGGGAGCTGGCTGCCATCTCTCTCTCTCTCTCTCTGTCTCTCTCTCCTTCTCTCTCTCTCTCTCACCCCCCTTCTCTCTCTCTCTCTCCACTCCCCGTCTCCCGTCCGTTTTCGCCCTTCCCCTCCGACCCCATCCCTCTTTGCCCTCCCCCACAGACCCCCTCCGTCATCGCCCGCACCCTCAGACCCCCTCCATAGTCATTGTCAGACCCCCACCGGAGCAAGGGTGAAAAACGGTAATGATCAGCATGACGAGGACAGAGAGGAGGAGGCGGCGGCGGTGGCGGAACAGCAGAAGCGGGAGGAGGACCAGGGAAGACGATAGGATGAGCAGGAAGGTGTTGAGGAACGAGAGGAGGGGGGAGGAGCGCATAGATCGTTGTCTTCAGACGCCCATCATCGTTGTCAGACCCGCATTGACGAATTGATACGCAGGAGAGAGAGAGAGAGAGAGAGAGAGAGAGAGAGAGAGAGAGAGAGAGAGAGAGAGAGAGAGAGAGAGAGAGAGACGTTGATGGTGGCGGGATCCCCCCTCGGTGATGTCCATGGCGGCGATGGAGACCTCCTCGGCGGCGCTGCTACGGGCAAAGGTGATGTCGACCTCCAGCGACGGGCGAAAGCGCTGCTGCGCTCCGGTGCGTGGAATGACGAGCTCCTCGAACCGGGCGGGACGATACCGGAAGAGCAACCTTCCCGCTGCGTCTGATTTGGTCCCCCCAAGAACTGCTGTGGGACTACTTTATTCAGGCCCTTCAGGGTCTGTCCGGCTTAGGCCCACGAATGGTCAAAAGACTCAAAACTTACACAAACATTTTTTCTCGGGGGCACTCAGCGCCTGAAAAACAGCCTGGACCCCCCTTGCACTGGACACCGGACCCACTCATCCAGACACGGACTGTCTGGATCGGGATCCGGACTAACAACCATGAACTTTGTCCTCTCTTATTGGGATATAATTCCGATTTCTGATTTATCTGTTTTTGTCGAACTCTGTTCCTGGCGCTATTTTCCACTTCCTCGTTGAAAGGGCCGCCTTTTTGCAAGGGTTCGGATGTGAGCTAGGGTCCATACGAGGTATCTGGTGGCCCCACTGGGGCTGAAGAGGTCATCATAGCTTAAAAGGGGGGAATTTCGGTATTCGGGGGTTGTCTGTTAGAATGCCGTGTAGTGCAAATTCCTCGTCCAAAGCCCGCCCGGTAATGGCCCCTGGCACCTCAGTTGTTCTGAAATTAGTAAATTACCCATATGGGATGGTGGGCCCGGTTCCCAGCTCGTGCCGCTCTGTGTTAAAAAAAAAAGAAAAAAAAGCTATGCTATGTTATGCGTGGCATCCAATGTCGCATGTGTGGGAGTGTTTCAGTATCTCTTCGTGACTCGTGAATCTGTTGTGGGCTGAGTTTTTTTTCAGAGACTGGAAATGACTCTTGTAGGGTGTCTGTGCATGGATGGTTTGCAGGAAGCGGTTGCAGGGACGGGCCTCTGGAGCCAGCCAGCAGCCACAAGAGACGCAAACTTCTCTTCGGCGGCGAGGAAAAAGGCCATACCGTAGGACAGACCACTGAGTAGCTTTCGACCATCTCCCGTGTGTGTAGGAGGCAACTGACGAGAAGGCAGTTTCTTCTGGCTTTGTTGAGGATGGCTGTGGGTAGGGACTGGCTGAGGAGCAGGTTGTTGATGAAGTAGAAGAAGGGTTGCATGATGCATGAGGCGATGATCACGAGGTGGAGGTAACTTGCATGGCGTGTGCGCATTCGCTTCCGCTCCGCAGTCTGTTATTCCTCTTGTAAAGAATTCGGACGGCTCCATGGCTGTGGGGCATCCAACCCTACCGGTAGGTCCTTCGATGCCATGGAGACGTTGACGGACGGCGAATTCCTTACGCCGTGGAGCCCTGCGAATTCCCAGCCATGAGTTGTTGACGGACGGCGAATTCCTTACGCCATGGAGCCCTGCGAATTCCCAGCCATGGAGACGTTGACGGACGGCGAATTCCCAGCCATGGAGACGTTGACGGACGGCGAATTCCTTAAGCCATGGAGCCCTGCGAACTCCCAGCCATGAAGTCGTTGACGGACGGCAAATTCCTTACGCCATGGAGCCCTGCAAATTCCCAGCCATGGAGTCGCTGACGGACAGCGAATTCCTTACGCCATGGAGCCCTGCGAATTCCCAGCCGTGGAGTCGTTGACGGACGGCGAATTCCACTGGTGAATTTGTCTTCTGCAGAATCGTTGTCTGACCAGAATGCTGTTGCATGCGTTGTTGTCAGTGATTCTGTGCAGTCGTTGACGGACGGCGACTGTTGATGTGGCCTGCTCTTTGTTTGCTGTCCCATTCGTCTTGGGTGGACGGTTTTGACGGAGCGAAGCGGATTTCCGCAAAGTTTATGGCTCTGAACAGCGGGCGGCCTTGTCTCGCGAACTGCTGTTGACAGGCTGGTAGCAGTCGATGACATTCAGCAAGAACAGCCCCGGTTCTTTTGCCGGTTTGTTCGACGGTTTGTTCGCTGGTTCGTTCACGTTCAGCACCATAGGAGGTATATGCACAGCGCGGCGTGTTACTCTCCGGGAGGTGATGGAGCGGTTGGGATAAGCGGAGAGGAGAGGTAGTGGTTTGGGTGACTAGGGGCATCGCCATCCAGGAAAATTGTTCGTCAAAATCGCTCCCGATTTAGTATTTACTGCTGATTTTGTTTTTCTTTGTAGCCAGAAGATCTTTCCACTCAGCAGGATTAAACCACCACTATGCCCCCCAGGAATATCGTACAGCCCGCCGCCCCTTTTTTTTTTTTTTTAATCCTGCAGCTGTAAGCGTACATTTCCGAAAGTTTTGTGGGTTCAGGCTACCTGACCACAATGGGTGGCCCCTGCCCCGTTTTTTTCTTTTTTTGGCGCGCAGCACTTGGGAGGCTCCTTAAAAAACAGTCTCGGACGTAGTTGTGGTTTAAGATTGCTGGATCTGGAAGCCTGTGGTGTTTGAAGTTTGTGTTTCATTGAGGGTCTGTTTACAATTGCGAGGGGTCAAAAAAAAAAAAAAAAAAAAAAAAAAGGTGAAAGGCAGCGGCCTGTTCTGTACACGTGCGTTTTGGTAGTAATGGTGGCGTAGGCTTTGCTGGATTGGCCTCCATTCTTCTTAGGGCATATACTCAGGCCATACTCACACTAGCTCCATCGTAAATGTATCTGACGCCATCTACAGCCAGACGTGGATGTATCTGGCTGCAGCTACGTCAAAAAATGAGTGAAAAAGTCCTAGGTAGTGCGAGTATGCCCTCACACTTGGCCCTCAAAATCGCAAAATGCCAAAATCAGCGGCCAGATCAAGTCCTTGTAAAAGGAGCCATCTATCTGGCCGCTTATTTTGCGATTTCGTGGTTTTGAGGGCCTAGTGTGATCCTTAGTATGTTTTTTTTTTTTTTTTTTTTAATTTTAATCCTTAGTATGTGTCATTACTTACCGCAGCACAAAAAAGAAGTCTGCCGGTGGGTGTCAGTTGCTTTTGCAGTTCCTTTTTTTTTTTTTCAGTTCGTTTTGTATTTTTTAGGTATGGTGATATGTGTGTTATCGGGCCTAGGCACACAGCTCACCAAACGCGCGGAATGGAGAACGAATCTTCCACTAGAACGTGGAAATACCTCCCATGTAGTTTTGTGACTTTGTCTTATTCACACTTGCTGGGTGGTGCGGCGCAGCTCATCGATACTGTCAGTCTCAGCGGGATCATTGTCAGTGTCGTTCTCGCTGTTTTGTCCACTAGAGGAGAGGTGGGGGGTACATTTCATATAATACAATGCTGAACAGTGTAGCACTCTGGAAGTGTATGTATGCACCTGGTACCCGTGCACGTACATGTACATTTACGCGACACCAAAAAATACGTATGTGACGATGGTGAACGTAATTACTAATTATTTGTTTTTTGAAGTTTTTTTCTTTTTAGTTTTCAACTTTTTATTTTAGTGTTTCTTTTTTTTCTTTTTTCTTTTTTTCTTTTTTTCTTTTTTACTTTTTGGTTACGAATTTCGAGATGAGTCCAAGGTTAAAGTTGCTTATCTTTTTCAGATGACTGAGCTCCTGAACCTGGATGTGTTTTATGCAGAGATGCAGAAAAGCAGTTCCAATTCCACCCTACCTTCTTCTCCACCTCGTGCCCTCTGTGCAACCTCCCCCTACCTGGCTCCGGAGGACCACCACCTCCGGGCTCTGTCTGGCCTCCTGCTTCTGGCATCCGCCCGACCTCCTCCGCCTTGCCTCCATCGACCTCTTCCCCTGCCTTTGCCTGAACTCCTCCTCCCCCCTGCCCCCGCCCAACCTCATCCCTGCCTCTGCCCGCCCACCTCCTCTTTCTCTCCACCCGACATCTTCCTCCCTCGTTCTCCCCGCGACTTCCTCCTCCCTCTTTCATCCTGACCTCCTTCCCCCGACATCTTCCCCTTTTGCCTCCACCCGACCTCAAACTGACCTCTGCCCGAACTCACTCCGCCCCACCTCTGCACGGCCTCCTCCTCCTTTCATCTGCCCGACCTCCTTCGTGGCTCCGCCTGGCCTCCGCCTGACCTCCTCCCTGCCGCTGATCCTCCGTGCCTCCAACCAATCTGTTACTGCCCTCCGCTTGACCTCGCCCCAATCTCCGCCCGACCTTCTCCATACCCTCTTCCTCCCTCCACGCGACCTCCTTCATTCTTCCTTCCTCCCTCCTCTCTCCCTCTGCCTTCCCCCACTCTCCCTCC